TGGATACATGTTCCTCTTGAGACACTTTGATCTATTTTCCTCGCATAGAAGTGCCTCTTTTGTCTTGAGAAAATGAAACATAGTGTCTCGGATTGTCACGTATGCCAGTAATCTTCATTGTTAATGATTTTGTAACACCTTACAATAACCCTGAGACAACATTTGGATGTCTACATACCAATATAATCACTGCCTACTGTTGAATTTAACACTATATATCTGCATTGTGTAAACAAGGCACGAGTTTATATAAACAGATCAATTCTTTGGGATGTTGTTTAACACGATCTTAATAAGGCTATACGACGGTGGCCATTGGAAGATACCATTGAAATATTTATTTACAACATCCGCCTTCATCTTTCCTTTGTGATAGCATTGCTATGCATATATTATGAGAGAAACACGATGCAGTGAGCTATCTGTTTGTCCAACAGATTGATGAAAGGGAAGCACAAAACTCACATTTCACATTGACTCATCAAATAGTAGACAGAACCGGAGAAGGAGGATCTTGGCATTGTATTATCAGGAATGAAGTGGACAATTTTAACTATATCGTGCCGTCTTATATTTATGATGTTAGTCTGTTAAAAGGTTGGACCCCTTTAGCTGAAGCACATTCGGGCATGTTCAGTGGTTGGCAACAAAACTGGTATTTGTGGACAGGCAGTCCTGCAATTTCGTTTTTTTACCTGTCATTTGAAATCAAGAGGGAAACATTTCAAATCTCACGGGGCAGAAACCATTCTTCTAAGTATAATTAAGATTTGATTGGCATTTAGCTCCTAGATGGCACAAGATGACATGGATCATCAGCTTCTTCATTACAAATGAATCAATTGCTTGATAACGATGTTAGAATCTCCACCAAACGGCTATATTTTTCATTGAGAGTTTAATCGAAGATAACGATGCTTGATAACGATGTTAGAATCTCCACCAAACGGCTATATTTTTCATTGAGAGTTTGATCGAAGATAACGATGCTTGATAACGATGTTAGAATCTCCACCAAACGGCTATATTTTTCATTGAGAGTTTGATCGACTTGACTATCTTGCCATTTATTACGTATAATGTGATGTAGAATTTGGCCTTAGTTACATAAATATCACAAGTAACTTTTGTTTCGACTTCCATGATTATTCGCAAAAACAAATATAAGGCCCCAATGAATGTATAATTTTGTTCAAGTGTTACATTAGGAACAAAGGGGTGACTTACAACATGTTCAAGACATAAACTATCTAGGTAAGGCCTAAACAGCCGCAATCTGTCAACAGTGTCCTGTCCATTTGGTGAGTCTTTATGATTATACGTTTAATGAATTGTAAACATAGTGTTCAGCTCTCAAATTCATTTCGGCTGTAGGCGATCGTCGTCTTACCTCAGAAACCACTGCATTACTGAGCTTACACCCAACATGGATACTCCCTACAATAAGATGTGAAAAAAGAAAGTAAATTAAAATGAAAGCGTTTGAATTTATAGTCATAAATACCAAAGTGAGCGTCTGCCTTGGCGCGTTCTCCTTGGTATGTCAGTCAGTCGCCATTAACATTTTTTTATAATGAAAAGTACATAATCAACGTGTAATCAGAGATCATTAATCTTAGGAGGACAACAATTGGAATCGTTCATGCATTAAAGAAAAAATGATTATTTCACTATTTCTCAGACACAGCAAGGTCTAGATTGAATATGAGTTTTGGCAACATAAAGGGGTTTATGGAAGTTTGGCCATGTCAGTAAATTCAGTATATTTTAGAAAAAAAGGTAAACATTTTACTTTATTAATATACTCTTTAAACTGTAGGGGATCATGAAATTTAAATGTAAATACCAAATATTTGAACAAATATAAGTATTGATGACAAACACCAATACACATCCTAAAGTCTGCACGCCACACAAGTCCGTTTGGTGTCATTCCTATTTTGGCACTTTCAAGGAAGGCCGATAATTCTCTTTGGACCATTTCTTCTGTCAATCGTATTGATTTCTGTGATGCAGTTGTGATTTACTTGAATTCATTAATTAAGTGTGATTAGTAGACTATAGAACAATTACCAACACACCAAACATGTTGATGATGGACCCCGTTCAGGGCGTCCCGGGTCAACAAGAAAAGAGGATCGATGGATCAGAAACCAGGCTCCTCGAAATCGAGCTCAAACGGCGAATCAAATTGCTTCACATTTTCATGAGGCCACAGAAGTACGAGATACGTTCTAGGAATCGTCTGCATGCAGCTCATCTCCATGCTCGACAACCACAGGGTGTTTCGCTCCATTTCAAATCATCATATTGCCAATAAACGTCAATAGTGTACACAACGTCGATACTGGGGTAACGTAGCTGGTCATGTGTCAATACTAAGCAGTGATGTTAAAAGTTACCAATGCCCAGGCACAAACGAATAACTAGCCAGTCAACTTTCGATGGTGCTTTTAATCCGAGTGAAAGACCATAGGAAATGCAATGTTTTGATATGTTATTACTATATTATAATGTTGTGTTGCATGGTGGTATATTTCCCAAGGAATGAACGTATGGTGTTATATTGTCTTTGGTATAAATGTTTTGGTGGAAACCGCTGGGAATATGTCTGAGAGAAATGTGACCAATGGGTTACTGTTGTGGTCAGATTCTGAGGACTTTTTATAGACAAAGAACAAGCATGGATTATGAAACGGTCTTTTATTATATTTCATACTAAATACAAGTATTCATAAATATTTGTCTTTTGGACGTTTCTATTGTGACTTCATTAATTTGAAAGCTGCCTTTGTGTACAAATTAGGTTTACAATATTAAGTTTGGCAGGGTAGCGTCAGGGGTAGATTATTCACGAAAAAGAGGTTAAATTGTGTGATTACGTGACGATAATATATAAAAAAAATTCTAATTACTAATTCTAATTACTAAAACTGGTCCGATAGTTTTTTTCAGATAATGACTACTAATGTAATTAGAGAAGTATCCCAAGACAATCAAGTTTATTATTCATCTACATTTGTCAGTATTAAAGACAGACCAGAACCGGGCCAACTGACAAGCATAGCAAGTTTAATTCAAGGTACTCAATGCCACAGAGAGAGACTCCTACAAGGTCCGGTGTTGTCACTCCCACCAAAAACACCCAAACACTTCCGTTCCATAAACATTAAAAATAAATTAATGGTGGATATATGTCTAGCAGTTAATCACATAAGTAATTACATGGCCATGAAAAAAATGTTACTGAGTAAGTTTGTTTGGAGTTATATACCAAACATATCTCCACAACCACAAAATCTATTCCTTAAAAGAAATCAGCAAATGACAGTGGAGCATAGTGTCTCTGTAAGGAGATCGAAAAGTTGTTACTAGCACAAATTTAATATTAAAATGCTATGAAATACTATGGGTTTCAGTACAATAGTTTGGCTGCGTAGGATCTTAGAGAAAACACTTATAGGCGACAATATGTACTTTTATTTCAAGGAACTGAACAAGAAGCAGAATGCACTTATTTAATTCATTACACATTTGTATTGTGTGAACAAATAGTGTGAGCTTGCCACCTAGATCTTACATAGTGAGCGAGCGAGTGTGAGTTTAAATCCTATGTTTGCAGTATTGTTGGTGAAGGACAACACAAAGTCTAAACACCTTACCAATGTTCTCACAATATGTACAAGAGTCACAATGTGAATAGCGATTTTATAGTCATTTCTTAACCGTTTGTGATTTCAGTTCATATTAGCCCATGTAGGGGCACGGGTGTCCAGTCGTCTAAGGCGCCGCAATTCGGCACGCCAGAAACTTATGATTGTGGGTTCGAATCCCTGTTCGCCCCCGTTATATTTCTAGGTCTGTCGGCACCAAATGCGTGCTCGTGCTCGTGGGTTTCACCAAAGTGGTAAACGTCTGAGACCTGCATCACTTCGGGCTTTCCTCCCACATTAAGCTGACAGGCCGTGATATAACTGGACAACTGTTAAAAGCTCACTCACCCAGGTCTGTTAAAAATTGAGAACGGTAAGGACAATGTACTTCCTCCTTCCAAGAACTGCTGTAATTTTATTTTTCTGAGTGCCGAGTTAATTGAGGAGCGAGTGATTGTAACATGTGTCCTGTTTAAGTGAAGATGGTTGTTCGTTGCCAACTGACCGAGACCCGAATATTAAGAGGCTGTCATGATGCTAGCACAATGATCTCATTCACGTTATCATGTATCTAGTGTTATATGTATGTACTGTATGTATGTGTATCATAATATTTGACTTTCATTTTGAGCAACCCATGCTTGCCGTAAAAGGCGACTATGCTTGTCGTAAGAGGCGATTAACGAGATCGGGTGGTCAAGCTCGCTGACTTGGTTGAAGCATGTCATTGATCCCAACTGCGTGGATCGATGCACATGATATCAATCACTGGATTGTCTGGTCCAGACTCGATTATTTACAGACCGCTGTCATATAGCTGGAATATTGCTGAGTGCGGCGTAAAACAACCAACCAACTTTCATTTTGCTTTGACTCTGAATCAGTTGATATCAGTAGAACTGAAGGTCCTCTCTTTCTATCTTTGTATGACGCTTGGCACACATTCATTTGAACACATCTGTCCAACACCTGTTGTAGATGCAGCTACTTGAAGATTTGGATTCGATTTAGTGATGGTTATGTCAATCCCTTGAAGTTCAGCCAAGCTTGTATGTGATTGGGTATTCTGTAAAATGGTATCCAACTTGAGGCTTTATGACACAGTAATGGACTAACTAAAGAAACCTTATACTCACGGTGAAAGTAAAATCTGTAAAGTGTTGTCAGCAAGTACAGTGGATCAGGGTTAATGGTCGGGTGATGATCGGTCTCTTGTAGGGCTTCCTTATCAGTAAGGCTCGCCAATACCCCCTGCTTGACGTTTTAGTTTTTTGACGTCGAGGTATTTGTCACTTGAATCCAAAGACAGTGTTTACAGTACCCGTTGACTCATGATCAAACATATGATTTGTTATATTGTTTATTCTTGTTTTATTAAATATTGCAAAACATTTAGCCATTTATTCTCCTTCGCTCAGCATACTGGAACAAATCGTAGAAGATTTACCATACTTCACCGTAACAACATTGTTATGCGTTTTGTCACGTAGTTCATTGAATGGTGAAAGTTATTAATCTATACATATCCCTTCATGCATATTGGCAGAAAGTTTAAACTCTTCTTACAAAAAATGTGTTCAAAGCATTTACATGCTACTCTGAAACATAGAACATATATTGTATGTCGTATCCTTCAAGTTTTCAAATATGCAGAGATGACTTGTTTATCTCTCTCTAGTATCTTTTCAGTTGGAGACATCGACCATCCTGACTTCAACTCATTTTCAAATAGTCTCACGGTCGTGTCACTGTAGTCAACAAAGTGAACCTCTCGCAGGCTACCCCCAATAACATTCTCGTCAAAACTTTTAACAGCACGCACGTAGGTCTCAGCACACTGGCGCGCTGAGGTAACCATGACAGCTGAAATGTAAGCAAATAATCATAAACAAGCGAGAAAACTAGGTTTGATGACATGTACAACATTGCTTTGGGGATAAATCAGTAACCAGTATCATTTCTATGTTGAAGGAAATTCCTTTGATATAATGATTTTGTGCATTCAAGTCTCAATGGTGATTAATTTGTAATTTCTGCACTGGAATTAGACATCGTCTCTATCTGGTTAGAATAACCATGTAAGGCTATATTGACAAGTGAAGTGGGTTTTTTTGGAGTGACTTGAATCAGATCGATTAGGACTGCTAATTAATGCGAGCATAACACCTTAACAAACAAAAGGGCAATTGCACTGTAAACGATATTCCACGTATTTATTCTTTGTAGGTTTCTATGGAAAAATAATAAAGCGTCACATGATTTTGCATCCTTAGTAAATTGATGATTTCTAACAACTGTCCCCATAACGGCTAAGGAAAGAACAGTATTTATGAGATGAACAGATAAGAGAGAATAGGACACACAGGAACAACGTGTGTTCTAATGTACCTGATGTAATGACTGGAATAGCAATCGAAGTACATCTTCTATTCCAAACTTCACAAAGACATCTGAGAATGGTACTGTGCAGGTTCTCCAGATATTTGGTAGCTGCCGCCGTTGATGACAAACCATGACAATAAATGACTAAAGTCCCTCTGTCATCACCACGACATGTTACCGTCAAGTCTGTGACTGGAATAGGTGATTTCTTCTTAAAGATTTCAAAAAGCTTTCTTCCATGCACAGCATCTTCAGGAAATGGATCATTCCCTTGCATAAGAGTTTCGTTTGTAGGATTGACGATAACATCAACTGACAGGCTGTCCAATGCGGCTGTGTATGTTTTGATTGTCAGTAGTTTACCCCTCATTGTGAATCCTTGAACCTCTGGAAATGCGACATCTGGTTCTCTAAACCTCATGAGCCCATGTGAATTTCTATACTGGCCAAAGTGTTTTTGTATTCGTCTTTTTGTTTTGTGGAGTAATTCCCATTCGGACGCAAAAATGACAATTTTGTTCTGCGTCTTGAGGTACTTTATATAAACGTTGTCAACAAGAGCATCTTGAGTAGCTGCTTCCACTTTAACATGCTCAGCTTCATCAACACTAAGTTCATCCTGTAAGATCCCCTGGATTCGTTGAAGTATGTCTTGGACTTCATGGTTGTTCCTGGTAAAACTGATCCGTCTTTGCGTACCTGAAACCTTCTGAACATCACAATAACGCATTAGCTTATCTTCGCCAATGAGAGTTTTCAGTGCTTCAAACTTAATTTGATCCACAGTGATGGGTTCATTTGTATGTTGCCTCCGGAACAGTCCTCTCAGTTTCCCGTTCATAGTTCTGTGGAGCAAACAGAACTATATTAACATGTTTTAAGTAACAGGAATTTCAAAATTACACCAAAGTAACATCCACAGAACGATTTGATTCACAAACATGAATTACATGTATCATTAAATTAATTTAATAGGAACATAATGCATAGATATATACATGTATGTTGTTGATATACACTCAGAAGTTTATTTGAAACTAATGTATTCAGGACAAGTACCAATTTAGTCTTGTTTTGGTTTCATGAGTTTTTCAGCGGAATGAATTGTGCGTCGCGCCACATGAAGCTTTATCAGTCATTAGTCATGGATCGACTCAAATTCGACAAATTCAAACATCAACGCCTGAGTATAACCAGTCTCGGTTATCTGCTAAAACAGATTCCATTGGGCATAAAAGATCACTGAACAGCGAACGGCGAACACAAGCACATATGTACATTGAAAGAAGCACCTGGAAAATAACTCTAACACGACAACATATTCTTACTTTCGGGGATACCGTTTCCTTTCTTCTGCCAGTGTAAAGTAGTGTAAATGTCACAGTCCACGGTTATGTCTGTCAATACGTGGAGACCGTCATACGATGTAACATATTCACAAACCGAAACAAGGAAACGCCCCTCTGATACGCTATTAAGGGGGAGTAAGTTTTTACAGAGAACACCTGAAGTTACTTTTTGAGTTGTGTTAATAACAAGTTGTGAGTTCGAATCATAAGAGCATAACAACCTTTTTGTAATATTTTTCATCAGTCTTTACATAATACAAGCCACGTCATCATCATCATCATCATTTAATAGTACAATTATCTATAATTATAAGCATATATTCATCTCTGTGATTGAGATCTCTACTGTACTTCGAAATTGGAAATATTGTATTTTTGCAATGTCATAACTTATACTCTTCTAAAATAAGGTGGGGGCACGGGTGGCACAGTCGTCTAAGGCACCGCTGTGCAGAGTTGCGTCCCCTGGGTACACCAGGAACCTATGATTGTGGGTTCGAATCCCGGTTCGCCCCAATTTTTTTTCTAGGTTTGTCAGCACCATACCCGTGCTCGTGGGTTTCACCGAAGTGGTAAACGTCTGAGACCTGCATCACTTCGGGCTTTCCTTCCAGTTGTGCAAGTGTCTGTTGCGTCTAATGAGTTAATCCCACAGATGCTTTATCGGGTTCATATTCGGATATCTGGAAGGCCATGGCAAGATATTGTGGTCCTGTCGAACGCAGTTCGGTGCAAAACGGTCATTTCGTCGTCGGTACACACACTGTCTTCCATCTCGGCGGTAGAGAAGAAATTGTGATTCAGCACTGAGCCATACGTATACTTGCCGCCCTGTCCATGCGTGTACGGTGCTGCTCCATCGAATACGTTGTCGTTGATTAAAACATGAAAAGATTTGGAAAATATCTGTTGACACCGAGTTGGCGGTGCACATGTTTTGCAAATCCTGCAATCGACCAAAATCTACATGACAGTTTACGAATCAGATTTCGATTTCATTTCTCGATTTTGCTTGGACTATGCATGGACTCGTTAGTCCAGCCAAAATGTAACTCCATTGTGTCCCTTGGGCATGCCAGAAACCTATGATTGTGGGTTCGAATCCCGGTTCGCCCCTATTATGTTTCTAGGTTTGTCAGCACCATACCCATGCTCGTGGGTTTCACCGAAGTGGTAAACGTCTGAGACCTGCATCACTTCGGGCTTTCCTCCCACATTAAGCTGACACGTCGTGATATAACTGGAATACTGTTAAAAGCGGCTTTTAACCCAACTCACTCACTCACTCTTGCCTCGGGAAGGTGTCGTCGCATGGCAGGTGTGCCGTCAGGAAACAAATACATACTTTTTTATTAAAATTGTGTGTGGCGGATGCTACCGGTAGGGCTGGACATGCCTAACGTTTTCTTGGATATATTTTAATGTAACAGCAGTTTACATCATACCAATGACAGCAAAAATGACAGCAATGGAGCAGTTTTGTGCCAATTCGAGTCTGTTATTCACAAGTACCCTTGCACTTATTGGCTGAAGCGCCACATAAATATATACCACATATGGACGATCGTCTCAACACCACCGTCTGTTGCATACCATGGGGACTCGGCTGAGAACATGCCCCAACACTTGGTTCTTGCAAAGCGCGATATATGAAGTTACGTGAAATGGGGATTAACGTCGCGTTCAAGATTATTGCACTTATAAAGCGACGTGCTTTCATGCGCGCGTGCGTGCGTGCGTGCGTGCGTGTGTGTGCGTGTGTGTGTGTGGCTGCTTGTACTAGTCCGGACTTATGCCGATTTTATAGTGCCAGCCCACTGACACTGCAAACACGAAAACGTCGTTTTTTTCCGTATATGGTCATTGGACGGAAAAACGACTAAAAATTCATTAAAATTGATTAATTGGTCAGCGTCTAGAAAGTGTCCAGAAAAGGGTCGAGTTTTTCTTGAAAGGCGTAAACACTGACTACTTCCACATTCCTGGGGAAAACCCTTGGAATTCCCTGGTACGAATTCATACAGAAGCGTGGTTGCAAGCCCATTTAAGGATACCCTCGCTACAACCCATCCCAGAGAGAAAAAACACGAAAAAAAATCCAAACTGTCGCAGTGACAATTTACAGAAATCTATGAATTTACCTTAGTATCTATTTGACACATCTTCACAATCACCTTTCAATGATCGGCCAATTGATCAGTGATGCCAAAGGCTTGAAATAGCCACAGGTTAATTAACAACTTCGAAAATATCTCCCGTCACGTTTATCGTGTCGGCCATTTTGACGTATTGTACTTGATGTAAATGTATTACGACGCTCTGTCATTGTAATTGACTTACTTAGGTAATTCTGTAAAAGATCATCTCATCTAATGAGGATATTGTTTGGAATATATTTCTTGTAAACATACTAAAACATATGTTCCTCGCTGTGGGGGGAACTATTTTATTCCGGGGTGGCCCATTAAATCTAGTAGTAAGTCAAGGCACCATGCGTGGTCTGTTATAATTTTTATGTGTTTAAATTACGATTTGGGGCGTTAATAAAATACACTGACGCAAGTACAATGTATATTCTATTTAAATCAATTGGATAATTGAATATGCTTTAAATTCTTTTACATATTACATAACATCACTGCACAAAATATGAACAGTTGCAGTAACACACTACGGTAATCGCATTAAACATTATTTTCAGTATTTCAGTATTTCAGTTATATCATGGTGTATCAGACTGATGTGGGATAAAAATCCGAAGTGGTTCAGGTCATCCAATGGGTGTTCGGGAAAAGGTGATGAGATACCATGCAGCATTTTAAACTGAATACCCCATTCATATACAGTATACTTACGCCGAGCCGACTAGTCCTTGTTATAGCACCTTAATGCCGAGCGCCAGGCAGGGTAACATCATGTACCATCTTTTAACGTATTTTGGTATGACGCGACCGGGGATCAATCCCGACCTTCCGCTCTCCAGGCGGACGCACTATCACTAGACCACGGAGGAGGTCTGCCCTATTAATGATCTGGATCGGGTGGTGACTTCATAGACTGCATGTCATCGTACCCACAGATGCGTAGGACAGTTCTCTTTACTTCAGTCACTATACCGCCAGGCTCAATTTTAATTTCAAGTTTGGTTTCATTTTAGGTTCCTCGCGAATACGTCCACAAGATGTGAAGTCAAAACGGCACACTAGTGATGAAGATTATATCCGTCATGACACCAGGTGTCCTGCTGCATGAGCCGATGATTATGATCTCAATCACTGGATTGTCTGGTCAAGATTATTTACAGACCCCCGTCATATAGCTTGAATATTACTAGTTTTGGTGTTAAACAACAAACAAACAACATTTTCTGAAATAGTTTACATATACAATGTATACAGATGAATACCTTGCATGCTTATAAGTGAATACCTTGCATACTCGAGTATTTACAGACAGCCGTCATATAGCTGGGATATTGCTGAGTGCGGCGTTAAACAACAAACCAACCAACCAACCTTGCATACATATTATGAAATATTTAACTTAGGAAATTAGATGAATACCTTGCATGCGCATGACTGAATACCTTGCATACATTTTATGAAATAGGTTACACACTTATAGATGAATACCTTGCATGCGTTTTATGGAATACCTTGCAAACATATTGTCAAATATTCTACATACGTATAGTAGAATACCTTGCATACATTTTATGAAATATTTTACAAAAATAAGTGTATACCTTGCGTGTATATAACTGAATACCTTGCGTAAAAATATTATCAAATAGATTATGTATAGTTGAATACCTTGCGTACATATTATGAAATAGTTTACACACGTATGGTTCAATAGCTTGCATATATATTATGAAATATTTTACAGAAAAAAAGTGTATGCCTTGCGCGCATATAACTGAATACATATTATGAAATATTTTACATTAATAGATGTATACCTTCGTCCATCTAATATGTTGATCTTTCTGTAAGTTTTTGTTTGTTTGTTTGTTGTTTAACGCCGCACTCAGCAATATTCCAGCTATATGACGGCGGTCTGTAAATAATCGAGTCTGGATCAGATACGATGAAAATATATGTAAGCGAGCCTGACCATCCGCTCCCGTTAGTCGCCTCTTACGAAAAGCACAGTCGCCTTTTACGGCAAGCATGGGTTGCTGAAGACCTATTCTACCCCTGATCTTCACGAGCCCTTTCTTTGAGTATACAAACTCCCTTAACTACCTGGAAAAACAATTTTATTGTCGCAAACGAAACATGTGGGTTTTAATTTTTTTTACAATTTGCAAAAAAAAGCCACAAACTCGAGTTTCATAAATCTCCTGAACTGCATTCACATTCACAGCTACATTTCAGTTATGGCTCAATATGGAATAAACGTAGACCCTACTATTGATCCTTGGGAAAGAAGGCGTGTGTGTGGGTGCATCAATACTCCCCCTGTCGTGTTATTAAATACTAATGAGATGGAACACCTTCGTCATCACATCCTTCTCACGACGTGTCTGATCTCTTATCTTCATAATCTAATAAAAAAACGTTTCCGTAGCTGTTCAAACATGCAATGATAGATTCCAATACCATCAATTCTTCCACCTCAGGCTACCTGCTCTAATATCACAGTCAAATCATCCACCCAATATGGCACACTCACAAACGTCCGTCAATTTGACTATTTACCGACAAGATGACCTCCCGTTTGATATAGCCTGGACCAATTGACCAGTTTCCAAAACTAGGGCAAATTAGCCCTGCATCTGAGGCAGTTTCCCTTGGTGTACAGTTTCACATCAAACGCCGTCTACGATTAAATGACGTCAAGACGAAATATATTTGGGAGACCTCTCTTTGATTGGCAGTAATAGAAATATGAGTCGCCTAGTACCAGTCAATATCGTTTTGTTTAATAGAAAGTAAACGTCCTTCAGCACACTCTTGTTGCTTAGCGTTCACAGCTTTCTTCTCATTCGGTGACCGCCTCTGTGGTCTAGTGGTAGGGCGTCCGCCCTGAGAGCGGAAGGTCCAGGGTTTTATCCCGTCATACCAAAATATGTTAAAAGGTGGTATTTGATGTTCGGCTCGGAGTCCGTATAC